ACCCCTACGTAAGAGGCGCTTCTGAAAGAATATCGGATCAATATTCATTTCAACGTAAAATTCTTTGTTATTAGCGATTGTCTTAAAGAACAAAAGTATTGGTAACAGGCTCAATTATTGTTTTGTATAACAAACATAAAAATTAAAAAATATGTATACTAAAAAAATAAAATACATTATTCTCAATACATTCATCTATTTTGAATAATAACAACAAAATTAGAAGGTTAATATATATATATATATATATATATATATATATATATATATATATATATATATATATATATATATATATATATATATATGTATAGGTTCAGATTTATTTGAGACCATTCTAATTTTGTGAGACCGTAAGACCAAATCTAAAAATAATTTTAAAATGCAAAATAAATGGAAAAATCAAAAAATTCTTTTTTTAAATATTATTTTCGGAACTTTAATTAATTAAAAAAAATAAAAATAAATTAAAATAAAAATAAAAATAAATAAATAAAAAATCCTGTTTTTGTTTTTTAAAATACGTGAAATATTCTAAATAGAATATTACATTAACATATTCTAAAAAATAATTTTAAAATGCAAAATAAATGGAAAAATCTAAAAATTCTTTTTTTAAATACTATTTTCGGAACTTGAATTAACTAAAAATAAATAAATAAAAAAATAAAAAAAAATTCTATTTTTTTTGAAAAATACGTGAAATATTCTAAATAGAATTTTACACTGTACATATTGTAAAAATAATTTTATAATGCAAAATAAATGGAAAAATCAAAAAATTCTTTTTTTAAATATTATTTTCGGAACTTGAATTAACTAAAAAAAATAAAAATAAATAAAAAAAATGAAAAAATAAATAAATAAATACGTCTTACGATCTCACAAAATTAGGCCGTATCACATGAACCTAACCGTGTATATATATATATATATATATATATATATCCGTCGTTCCAAATGATATATTTTTCAATTCCTTTAGGTACCGTTTTGTATAGTGGGCTGGACGAGACAAAACAAAACTAAGTTATTTTGGGTGGGGTTTGCCAAAGACGAGACTAGAACAAGGTGCAACAAACACTATGTCAAATGCAATTAAACTTCCAAATTTTAGTCACATCCAAAATGATAGAACAAGGTTGAACAATAACATTAAAGACTAAAATACCCTCCCAACCTCCATGTTCATATTTTCCAATCTGAAATACACACACTACAAATTAACCTCACTGTTTACTTCCATCACTAACCTACATTCACATGAAGAACACATCCGCAACGAACTGTTATGATAATAATAAAAATAAGAATCATTTATTGTATGTGTAGTCACAAAAATAATTATCTACCCACTTTTTCTATGATGACTTTTCATTCTTTTGTCTTCCATGCTACATCATCTTTTGCTTATATATATATATATATATATATATATATATATATATATATATATATATATATATATATATATATATATATATATATATAGAGAGAGAGAGAGAGAGAGAGAGAGCTAAGTTATCAATTGCACGATATAGAGGTGATATAGCGGCGCTATAGTGTTTTTTTCGGAGGTCGAGAACCGCTATTTTCAGTTTAGCGTTTTCATTTCGCGGTGCCGCTATTAACACGATTAGTCACCGCTATTTACCCCTATTTCAATAACCGCTATAGTGGCGCTACGGGCACAATTCTCTTTTCGTTCACATTTTGGATAATTTGGTTACTTTGTCAATGAAAAACTAGTTTTAATGATCTGACTACAATTTCATTTTAAAAAACCCGAATAACTAACATAATTAAAAGCATTCCAAGCAACTACATCTACCGATAATTCTCTTTATCATCTCTTTCTGTACTCATGAAGACTTGAAGTGCTACAGGCGGACTCTATTAATGTTTTTTTTGTAAATCGACTTATACCTATAACGCTACGACTTGGGTCTTAACTCCTTAAATCAACCAAGACCTAGTAATACGATATTGAACCCATGCAACGCAATTAAACTTTATTTGGCACTTTGACACTACCTAGTTTCCATAATACTATAATAGAATATTATGTTATGTTTTTATATGACTTTTTAGGTTTGATAATATTAATTCTACATAGACTTATAGTATTAATACTCAAATATATAAATTCAATATAAATATAATATACAATTATAAATTATAAGTAATATTAAAAAACCGCTATATCACAGCTATACTACCGTGATAACCGAAATCTGAAATAGCGGCATGTGATGGCTATTGAAATTTGTACCTCGCTAACTGCATATATATAGATGTTCATGTGTTTGAACTATCTATTGTGTGATACCAGGGAATAATGTGAGCAATCAGTACAAAACCAAAATAAGATAAAATTATAATTTTACCTATTGATTAATTTAAGTAGGTAAATAAATATTTAATTAGTCCTTTTAATTTAGTCAAGGATTTAAAGGAATAATGTGAGCAATCAGTACAAAAACCAAAATAAGATAAAATTATAATTTTACCTATTGATTAATTTAAGTAGGTAAATAAATATTTAATTAGTCCTTTTAATTTAGTCAAGGATTTAAAACCCTAGGTAATGACAGAGAAAACACGTACCGTTCTTCTTCCTGCGAGTGAGTTCTCCACCGGCCGCTTCCTATCACTGGCGTTCCTTCGTGCTCGCTCTCTCTCTCTCTCTCTCATAAAAGTCTCTCTCTTTTTTTTATTTTTTTTTTATTTTTATTTTTTTTTTATTTATAAAAGCATAACTGGTACGTAACTTCACTTGCATCAAAATATGAGATGTACAATATTTGAATTTTGTCTATTATTTAAAATAAAGTACATGGGTCAGTTTACCATAATTCATGACTTTTTGTGCATTCATGGTTTGTATTGTCGCACAGATCAAAAGATGCATCGTTGTGATTGATTTCTTGAAACTTCTTTTTATCTTTGATTTTATCGAAGATATATATTAATTACGAAAATGTATTATTATATTACAAGTCCATATAATGAACAAATGACATACATTTTGGCCCTTTGACAAAATTGTCAAATAAATCAAATTATTAACATATAGCCATAATCAAAGCTTCTAGTAACAATAATCAATTGTACTAAACAGTAAACACTTATCTAAAAACGTTTTATTTGTTAATTGTTGGTTTGTTGTTATGGAAATTTTTTGATTTCATAATTTAAAAACAATTCTTTTTCAATCTAATTCAGCTTTATGTTCATAGGTTGCATAAGAAGATTAAATATTTCAACCAAATGGTATTTTTATTTATAATCTACAATCTTCTATAATGAACAAGTTTCTCATTCTCAATTATTCTTAATGTCTCTAATTTCAATAATTTTTTTTTCAAAGTTGTTTAAGAGATTAATTCTCATGGTGTTTTTTTTCTCTTGCATGTTACCTCTAGGTACATTCTTACATAAAGTCATTTTGACAAAATTGAATCTTGAATTTCAACTATGTCGGAATGAAATCTCAAAGTCCGGTTATGTCGAAATGGAATCTCGATATTTCCTCCGTGGTTTGTGGATTTTATACAATTCTTGGTTATAAGTTTTGATACAATTATCGTTATGAGTTTTGGTACAATTCACAAGTCTACAGATTTGTACAAAGGACTTTAGTTTTTTATTTTTCATTTGGTAATGAATTATTCTTTCAGTGTGTCTTAAATAAGGAATCAATGATTGATCATACAAGAGGAAGACATGGAATTGAGTTCAATATCAAGTTACATTGAAGAAGATTAAGTGTAAACAAATCGATTATTTGGATCACTGAAGAAGATTAAATGTATTTGTTCAATAATTTTATATTTGAGAATGTTATTCTTAAGAATTTTATTCATTTTGATGACATTTTGTTAGAATATATACAATTTTATTAAAATGTATCAGTTTGTAAGAATATTTATGATTTTGTATTTAAGTTCGGATCTGTATGAATATTTTAGAATTTGTTATTATTCAATTTCAGGTTCAAGAATATTATTATTCTTCATTAATATTCTAATATAGTAACGTTCTAACAAAACAATATCATAGAACACTATTCTAAAGGAATAACATTCTGACAAAAGTAAAACTAAATTAATTAAAATAATCAAAATTCAAAATTAAGATAATCGAAAATCCTTTAAATCTGATAATTTCTTTTTCTGAATTTGTGTTTCCTAATTTGAAAGTAATGGAAATGTATATTTTACCATTCTTTTAATTAAACGGTATTAAAATATTGACTAATATCTATGGGTGTTCATAAATATCTGAAAGATCCGAAAATCCAATCCGAAATTTCATATATCCGGTTTTTCGCATATTTGAAATTCGGATATTCGGTTATTCGGATTCAGATAATGATTTTAAAAAAATTCAGATATTTTGGATATTTTGTTGATAATTTTAGTTATTTTTCAATATTTTAATTATTTTTCAATATTTTCATAATTTTTCAATATTTTGTTGATCAATGACTTTAATGTAAATTAAGATAATCCGAAATACATATATTCATAATTTTAGTTATTTTTCAATATTTTGTTGATCAATGACTTTAATGTAAATTGCAAAATGGCTAATTAAATAAAAAAGATAAAGGAGTCGTATTTTGATATTTATGATTATATCAACGATAAACCATCATCAGAACATCCTCCATCCATACGTTTTTATATAAAATGAAATTAAGTTTTCTAACGTCATGACTTTTACGATTTATCTATTATTTGACTAATCTATATATCTATTGAGAATTGAGTGATTAATCAATCAACCTATTGTAAGCTATCGTGTCTCTTTGTTGTACATATCTCATGTAAATCTAAACTTTTGGAGTCTAAACTTCACAAGAAGAAATATAATCTTTAGGGACGACACGAAGTTTTAGGGGCGACACTCGACAATACGCGTTCTTGTCGTCGTTAATGCCTCGCATCGTCGCTAATAAGGGCGTCACTAAAGGGTTTGATTGGCGATCCACGTGAATGTTTCCTGATCAAATTTTGTCCCTACGATTGCATCCTGATCCAATGGATGGGGTTAGTTACTGTTCACAACAATAGGGGCGACACCATTTGTGACGACGCTGTAATGATTCATAGTTACACCAATGGCGTGAATTTCCCTCCGATTTGTCGTCTCTAATGATTCATAGTCGTCCCTAAAGGTGTCGCCCCTAAAGGGTTCCACCTTTTGTTCCCCATCAGGTCGTAGAACCTTATTAATTTCCAGTTTCCATTTCTCTCTCATTTTTTTCCGGCGACAATCAGGAAGCATTTTCCGGTGAATTTCAGTGCATCCCACTTCTTCCGCCAGAGGGATTTGCAGCTTCTCACCGGGTTACAGTTGCTCCACCGGCGACTATCACCACCTCAGCTCGCCACAGTCTCCGACGAACTTCTCCACCATCGAAGGTGTGTTTCCCTTTCTCATTTCCACCGTCTTTTCTCTTTCTCTTTCTCTTTCTTCTATAATTTTGTTGATTTTGGTAGTTTTAAGGAGATTTCTTTAATCTCTGAATTTTAGAACCACCACATCAACACCATTGTTGCCGCCTGTCTCCGTCGATGTCAACTATCTCCGGTGACATCCACTGTCTCCGACGAACTTCTCCACTGGCTCCACTGTTTTCAGCTCTACAACCACAGGTGCGTTCAATTTTTGTGTATATGTGTATGTATGAATTTGATATATGTTTGCAAGTTTATTTTGTATAAGGAATTTGATATATGTTTATATCTATTTGAAAATGTATTTCAAGAAAAAGTGTTTGATATATGTGTGTGTCTATATGTGTATATGTATATGTATGTTTGGAATATGTATATGTCTATTTGGTATGTTTGGAATGTGTATATGTCTATTTGGTATTTTGTATATGTGTATTTGTATATGTATAATTGGTATTTTGTATTTGGTATTGAATTGGTATGTGTATATGTCTATTTGGTAAGTGTATATGTATGTATCTATGTGCATTTGAAAATTTGTTTTGAGAAACTGTGTTTGATTGTATATTAATTTAGTGTATATATGATGTTATAATTGCAAGTATGTATATACTTTGATTTTAGATAAAATGACTGTAAACATAACATCAATGCAACTACATAAGATATATATTATTTAAATTTCAATAATATAAAATATTCTTACAAATAAACTAAAAATCAAATGTAAAAATAACATCGGTGCAACATTTTTAAATAACAACCTTTTGCTCATAAATAATATGTATGAATAATAGAAAAAAGAACCGTATAAAACTTTTGTAGGGTGACTTAATTGTTAAGTAAGAATAATTTGTTTTTATAGTATGATATATTTTAACTTATATTCTTACTTTGTAGGATGTGGATGTTAATGTTTTTCTCCAAAACCCGACGTTTGTGACGGTAATTGAATATATTATGCACTCATTTAGCAAGCAAGCCGATAATGCGACCAACAACAACGATGAAAACGATGATGGGGAAGACGATTAGTATATATTGTTTTATGTTATGGATGATGTTATTATAGATTTAGATGGTGTTAATGTGATATACTTTGTTTATGTTATTTGATGTTTTATGTAATTCAGATTTTTAAATTACATGTTTTATAATTTTATAAATTCTGCATTTTTATATTATAAACTAATATAAAATATAAATTTTATCCAAAAAACAATCATTAGTGGCGACCCCGTTAGGGATGATCTTAAGCATTAGCGACGACACATCCCGACGGAATATTTGGCCGAAATAATACTGACCGGTGGCCGCAATATTATTAGGGACGACACCTTTAGGGACGACGAGTGGTATTAGCGACGATAAGTATTAGAGACGACGTCTTTAGGGACGACTTTGGAGTATTAGCTACGAGGTATTTGAGGCGACCCAATTGAGACGACAAGTCGTCCCTAATACCTTTAGGGGCGACTTTCTTGACTATTAGCGACGCGTCTCTAAAGGTGCCTTTTTTTGTTGTGCTTGTGTTGTCCATTATTTGTCTGATCGTTGTTTTGATGTAGTTTTTGTTGAATTATTAGTTCATTTCTTAGATCGGTAATGGTGTTATGATTTTTAATTTGTTTCATAGTTAATTTTTCCATGGTTGTTATTATTTTATAAGTTAGTACTTAATGGTTCTAAAATTACAATTTCAAAATTACAAATTTCGGATATCTGATTTAAATTTCTGAATCCATATTCTAAATTCAGATATCCGAATTTCAGATATCCAAAATTTCGGATACAGATTCGGATATCAAAAATTTACTATTCGAAATTTTGGATATCTGTATTTTCTGATATCCGATTTTAAACACCCTTACAAATATCATTACAAGCAACCAAAAAGAAGTTTTGTAGTTGTAGTTATTATTTGTTAATTCTTAAGGACAATGTAGTGATTTTATAGTCCAAAGTAATGTCATATCTTAACCATACCAAAGGCTAAATAAAGAATCAATTTAGTTCAGTCATATTTTATTTGTGGTTATTCCTTTTTTGCTACCTTTTTTTTATACATTAAGGAGGTAGCCCGTTATCATTACTTATCGCCAACTCATTACCATTAACTTAGTTCATCCTATTACCTCATGATTAGTTTGAGAAAGCACTTCGATACATTAGAGAAGAGTAGTGTCAAATATTTACTATGACATTTCTATTGTTTTGTTGTCCTACAAATATATAATTAAGTTATTTAGTTATTATTAGTATTCAGTTTAATTATATATTAGACTATATCATTAGGATTATTATAAGAGATAGATGAATATGTTGAGTATAATGTATTTTGTGTGTTATATATATATATATATATATATATATATATATATATATATATATATATATATATATATATATATATATATATATATATATATATATATATATAATTTTATATTTATCAACAAAACAATAATTGGACCTATTATCAATATTACTTTTGTTTTCTAAGATAATTGATGATGTTAAAAAACTATTTGTCCATTGATGATGCTAAATAACTTTTATTGAAATGAATACCGAACGAGTATTCTCTCAAAAGAATCTCTTTCGTATAAAAACTACAATTTGATGAGAATTCAAATAATCAAGACGTCGTATTTTCAACCGATGAGATTTTTAAAGTTAATTATTACGTAAAATTATAAATTGTATTATGGTTTTTTTGTTTTTATTATTGTATAATAATTATAGTACTATTTAATTTCTTTTAAATATAATAAGAAAATAAAGGTTCACTTTAAATTTTCACACGGACCATTAAAAATCAACGGATCCTGTTTTTCTATTGTGTCTTGTTGTTCACTTTACTACCTTGGACACCGATGGAATAATAAAGTAGTTGTTTACCTTTTTATAGTACAACAAAAAATACACGTATGAGACAAGAATAAAGAAACAACAAACCATGTACATGATCAAACTACACCAACCCATAGCAAATTGCTTGACAACCAAATGGAAATGCACTTTGCATCACATTCGAACAACACCCGTAATGATGAAAGCACCTATTCACTTGATAGAAAGATAGCCACCAAAACACTCAACGAAACTCATAGATAAGTAGTCCGCAACAGCAGCAGATGATAACAAGAAAGACACAACCACCAAAGCAGAAGCGTAACATAAAATCCATCTTCCATGATCCATCCAAAGTAAACCATCGCTATAGCATGTGGTGTTAGCAGCCACCAATTAGAGACCAAGACCCAGCGTCAACCCCGAACCCTTAAACTTGGCTTCAGTGATTGAATCAATCCGCTCTCTCATCTCCTCTGTCAAGTAATTTTTCCAATCTCCCACCGTTCCTTTCCTAAAATAATTCTTATACTCCACCACCAGCTGTGTAAACGTCTGAACACCCCCACCCTCCTTATGCACTTCAAGATTACTCAAATTCTCAAAGCTACACAGCTTCACAATCTCTTCCACCACTCCTCCCTTCTCCTCCTCCGCCGTGAAGGGCATTCCCATGAACGCCGCCAACTTCTTGAGCTCCACTGACGGTTCCCTCTTGATATCCTCATACTTTAAGAACAGGACCTTCTCAGGTGATTCCTGGCTTGCTTTCCAGTACTCCAACACATGGTCCCAATAAGGTCCGAACTCCGAGACTCCATTGCAGAAAAGCTCGTAAGCTTCATTAAACGAAATGGGTGTAAGTTCCTCGGACCGGATTTTGCACATGAAGTGCCACTTTGAAATTAGCACGTCTTTAGGGTCTCTACACACGTACACAAACTTGCATGCCGACAATGGTGATGTCATCGAGATCGGAAACAAGCTATGAGCAAAGTGTGTGGCGAACAGTCGAGGAGAAGGGAGACGGTCGAACGTAGATACCGGATATTCCAGAAGAATTTTAGAATCCAGGGACGGGAAAATAGCGTGGGGTCCTGTGTGGTGAATAGGGTGGTCGGAAAACTTGTAAAGGTGGCGGTTGGCGGTGGCGAACATGAGAGCTCTAAGCCAAGTGGTTCCACACCTCATGAAAGCTGTGAGGAAGATGTCAGTGGATAGGGGATGGAAATAGTCGTGGATCATTAATATGCTTTTGAGAGCTGCTGGGCTCAACCAGAAACCTTTGTATAGGAAGATGTTTGTGCTTCTCCAGCCTTTGTCTTTCGGCAGAGTTGCAAGAAGGTCGTTAAGCTTTTCGTGTAGGAGGTTATAGGCTGCTTCTTCTTCTGTTGGATTTGGTTTTCGTCATGGTTTTGGCGTGGATTTCGATTGGGATCATGATGTATCGGCAAGGACTGGATTTTTGAGAAATTTCTCGACATGACTGGATTTTTTAGAGTGGAGAGAGTTCTCAAGTATATTATGAGAGTGGTTCACGATAAACATGAAATATATAAGGAGTTTCTTTTATACTATTATAGCGATAGATAAATATCTATTGTTTATTCACCGACTCCTGCAGAAAAATTGTAAATGTATGGCATGTAATATAGATTTAATATTTAATTTATAATAGGATTATAATTAATTATATAAAAAAGTTCATTTATATTTTAAAAACAAACATGTAAAAAAGATTAATGAATTTTAACAAATATTTACAGTCTTATATTTGTTTTGACATATATATGTAAAAAAATTTAAAACCAAATTTATAAATAAAAGACTGAAAAAAACAAAAAAAATCATTAATGAAAATAAAATTATAAAGAAATCAGATTTGTAAAATAAGTAATTTTATATAAAAAAATGATACTAAGTTTTACAAAAGTATAACAGAGATTACATAAAAAGTGTAAAGTTGTGAAACATTTCTTATAATAAAACTATGTTCTAAAATATATATAAACGAATTTGTTAGAATTAAGTTGGTAAAGTTTTGATTAAAAGGTTTAAAGGTGCTAAGTTCCTAACAATTATTATAAAAAGGAAAACGGTAAAAAATTTATATAAAAATCAAATTTAAAAATAAATTTAAATACAAAGATAAAAATTAAATGAATTATAAGTTTGAGGAGACGCATGGACTTAAACCCGACTCCTCCTATTGTGTTGATCAGCCGCCACCTTACTCCTCCTACCTCCAACCGCCGTCACCACCATTTGTTGCTGCTTAGAACCACCGAGCGACCACCAACGTTCCTTGGTTGACTGTCGATCCACCCCCCCCCCCCATGATGGAAGAGATCGAGACTGCTGAGGAGTGGAGGGTAATGAGGGCCCTCAGACATCGCCCAACTCGTTCGTCAAACACCACAACTTCAACTTCTGTCAACGAGAATGAGGGTCGATGAGCGTCGAGATTGAAGGAAGCAGGAGCGAACAGGATACTCGTGGATGTTGAAACCATTCTCCGGCGAAGACGAGCTGCAACCCCTCTCTTCTCCATTTCCTTTTCTGAAATGCCACAACTCACTCGACCGCTACCGTTGCTGCCATGCGACTGTCACCCTGTCATTTCTCAAACCGCTGCCTGCCACCACGAGGGTAGTTGTGTTTGTGTGTATTTTGACATGTGTGTGTTTCAGTTGTACGTTGTTGTATGGGTGTTGCTTGACTAGAAGAACCGAAGAAACCTACCACTACCATCGTGAGGTGGTGGCTGCCACCTCCTGCCACCATCTTCCACCATCTTGGTGGTTGTATTGGGTATTTTGTGTTTTTTTTATGTGCTGGTGTGTGCGTCTATGATTGTAGGAGATTTTACATGTGTTTTGTTGTTGGATTTATCGCTCGAAAACCACCACTGTTGCCATGAGGTGGTAGCTACCGCCATATCGTTGTCGTTGACCACTACTACTCGTGGTGGCAAGTGAGTGGTGGTTGTTAGACTCGAACCCTAAAACCTTGAAGGAATACATCGTGTAGTTGAAAACCTAATGTCAAGAAACTCTAGTTTTGAAGTTTTGTGAAACCCACTTTGAAGTGTTAATTGGACTTTAAGTTATACTCGATAATACCTTATGATTAACATAAGGAGTGTTTGGATTAGCTTTTTAGCTTATTTCTTATAGCTTACTTGTGGTGGGAATAAGCAATAAGCAATAAGCATGGGGAGGAATGCTTATTAAAATTAGCTTATTTAGCTTAATAAGCTGGATTTTATCCAAACACTTAAATTAGCTTATTGTGGGAATAAGCAATAAGCACCTCTTTTTTTTTCTATCCAAACACCCCCATAATGTAGTATTAGGCTTAATGAATTAAGTACCTAAGGGATTTAGTGTGAAACACTAACTCTAGTTATGATTTTTTGAGGGAAAGATTAGAAACGGGAAGCCCTATTTAGGACACGATGACCGGGGAACGTATTTAGACTATTGCTTGGACTATTATTGCACCTCGATGTTGTTTAGGTTAAACGTTAATTAATGATTCTCTTAAGGGGGTTAAATCCTTAATGGGTTAAGTGTCCTCACTTAACCCCAGTCGTCATTTTATGTGAAGTAGTAACTGTTGCAAGTGATTGTGACTTGTGATCAGGTATTAACTAAAGTATCTTCTTGTAGGTGATTGGAAGTGAGTTGAAGCTAATGGAGTTCTTTTTTACTACTGTTGTGACCACACACATATTGAGGTGAGTTCTCCTCACTGCACCCGTGGGTCGAAGGAACCAATGCTGACCCACTAGTTTTGGTTATCTATTAGTAGAGGGATGTCATAGGGACTATATGTGGTCACGTAGGATACACTGAGGACTCTTGATTTAGGCTTTCTCTCATGTTCCTTGTTTGGTTGAGGCTCTAGAGTAGGATCAATTGTCCGGATGTCTATCTCACCTCTAGGTACATATGGTTATGTATTCTGTTGAGTGTTAGTTATCTACACTTGTGTATAGGATGTTGTGGTACAGTAGTGCTATGCTAGATCTATGTATGTGTTCATATGTATGATAGGATGTTGTAGTAGTGGTATACTTGTAGTGGAGGAGTGTGATGTGAGAGATCTAGTTACTGGTATTGACATTGTGATTTGATCATTACATATCTTATGAGCCTACTTGATCCTTGTTTGCTTACATGTAGACATGTTTTATTCGGTTAGGTTGAGGCGGTCTTGTTTTGTGCAGAAGGTCAAGATACCTGGTGCAGGATGGATATAAGCTCGTAGGCACGGAGGCTCGGGATGATCGGTTGGGTTGAGGCGGTAAGGCCAACAACCCTAATATAGTTTGGCATTCCAGTCTGATGACTGATTGTGCCCGTTGTTCATTCTATCCGTTTTGTTATGTGTGGTATTTTTGGGGAAGCTCACTAAGCTTTATACTTATCCAGTTGTTTTTTGTTTTAGGTATATAGGAAAGTAAAGGCGGGAGTCTACACACTCATCAACATCATTGAGGATTTCACGTTCATTATACTACTATGATTTTTTGTAATTGTAATTGGGAACAGATAGGTTTCGTGAAATGGTTTTACAATTGGAAAATTATACTTCAAACAAAAACGAATTTTTTTGGTTGTGAAAACGAGATGTTACATGACAACGCCCCCAAATTACTTGGTTGGGATCAAGAAACTATCTGTCTTATGGAAGGTTTCACTTTTGTTCCCGAGTAGTTCCATAAATGAATTATTGTTGGTGTGGGATGAGCATTGAGTGGCGGTGTCAACCACAACAACCTTAGTTCTTTGTTGCTTTTGGGGGTAAGATTTTCCTTTTTTTGACTTTTCTGTTTCGTTTTTGTTCCGTTTCACTTTCTCCATTCCCCCATCTTTAAAAAAAGAACATAAAAATGGAATTATTATCTTTCAGGGAAGAGACATGTGTTGCCTTTTTCTGATGTGCTAGGGCGGAAGTTCCAAGGGAGTTTTGCAATTTATACTGGTAGCTCTTCGTGACAGGCTTTCTTCTCCTAGTCATAAGTATGTCCAGGGATTCACTACTCGCGCCGTCTCGATCCCTTTTGGTGAGACACATTCTCCTGAAAATCCACCTAACGCACATCTTGCCGTGCTTCCTCCTCTCATCCCCTCTAAGGGCTTGGAGCGCATGGAAGATAACAAAGAGGGGATTATGTAACATCCCCAATTTCACGGCCAGAAAAGACCGATTTTTTTATGCTTTATGAAAATCAATTATCACATTTATAAAGTATATAATTTTCAAGAAATCTTGTTGATAATATAAGAATTATGCAGGGTTTGTCAAATAGGAGGACTGGAGCAACAAGTATAAATATAGAGAGTTCCCGGTAACAATGTGTGTTCATTTGTGTTGTTGTCTCAAGATGCAAGGTAATAAGATTGTAATGATTGTAAACTTTTTAGACATTAAATACATACAAATAGCTAAACCATAATTATTTTATGCTCAATTGTGAATGTGAAAGAAATGAAGATTACAAAAAGAGGAAATCCTTTTTCTGCCCAATTTCATTCTAGAGGTATGACTTTGTTTGGTAGACATCACCTTATTCGTGAAAGAAATGGTTTTTTTAGCAGAAAGTGTTGAGATTTTTAAATTAAAAAAATCAGGTGAGTTATATGATAGTTTCGATCATATTTTCGACCTTCAAAAAGTAGAATGTGAAGCGGGCAATTGAAGGATTTGGAGTTCTTGTTCCTGCCAAGGAGCAGGAGAATGGGTTAAAGACACTAGGTAACTAAAGATGAATTGTTAACTCTAATTATATATAAAAATAAAAAAGGTGTGGTATTATGCAGGCACTCTCTTTTGTTCCATGATGTTTCAGAATCGTGCGCCTAAAGACTTGTATCTTTATAGCACTTTTGTTGGAGGGAGTCAAAATCAACAAGTGGCCAAAGCCTCGAGGTATTTTTGATGGGTTTTGAGCATTACAACATTCCTATGGTGCACATGCAACCGTAATTGCTTTGTATCTAGTTTTTTCTCAAGTTATACATGCAAATTAATTTTACAAAGCATAACCCTAATCTATCATACAAGAAAATGAAATCTAATCATATTAGAATTAGAAGAATACCTTTCTTATTGATAGCTTGATCTTGACCATCAAGATCTTAGTGCCTCAAGTGTTGCACCACTAATGGAGTTACAGAAACCACTTAGAAAAGGATGAACAAAAGAGAGGTGATGGTGGCTTCATGATTTAGGTTAGG